CAGGTTTAGGATCCCAGTTTTAGGATCCCAGTTTTAGGACCCCAGGATCGAGACCCCAGGTTTGGGACCCCAGGTTTAGGACCCCAGGTTTAGGATCCCAGGAACGGGACCCCAGGTTTAGGACCCCAGGTTTAGGACCCCAGGTTTAGGATCCCAGGATGGCGGAGGGATCGGGGCTGCCCGGCCCCGCCGCCCGCACCCCGAGCTGTCCCCGCGGCCCCGCGCTCGTTTGGGGTGGGGACAGCCCGGGTGGCAGCGCTGGCCGGGTCCCCCCGGTGCAGGCGGGCTCGGCCACGGGCCTGGTGTCGGGGCAGGGGTTTCCAGGGGGGCTGCGGCACCGGGACCACCTGATTTCGTTTAATTCCCTTTAATTTCGTTTAATTCCTTTTCATCAGAGCAGGCGCGGCGGGGCCGGGCCGGGAGGAGCGCGCCCGCTCTCGGGAGACCTTGGCGGGCTTGGGGACAGCCAGGCCTGGGGCTGGGGTGTCCCCAAGGCCTGGGGGGTGTCCCCAACCCTCCCGCACCGGGGACACCCCGGAATCCCCGGGCGCGGCCGCTCCCGTAACGAAACCGGCGCTGCCCGAGCTGAGCGCGGGCCCGACGGGGCTGGGGACACACGGGGACGTCCCCGAGGGTGGCCCCGGGGCTGGGAACACACGGGGATGTCCCCGAGCGTGGCCCCGGGGCTGCGACCCCTTGACAAAAGGCACCCACGGTCCCGCGGGGACACTGCGGGGTGGGCACACTGCTCGGGTGTCCCTGCACGGTCACACGGCGCCACTCGCACCCAGGTGCGCCCTGCGTAGTCCCTCCGTGTCCCCTCAGTGTCCTTCCGTGTCCCCTCACAGTCCCCCGCGTTTCCATAGTCCCCCAGTGTCCCTTCACGGTCCCCCCGCCGTGTCCTCTCAAGGTCCCTGGTGTCTTCCCACAGTTCCCTTGTCCCCTCAGTGTCCCCTCGTGTCCCTTGACGGTTCCCCCGTGTCCTTTCACCATCCCCCTGTCCCCTCGCAGTCCGCTGTGTCCCCTCACGGTCCCCCGCGTTTTCACAGTCCCTCCGTGTCCCTTCACAGTCCTGTGTCCCCTCACAGTCCCCCCGTGTCCCCTCGCAGTCCCCGGTGTCCCCTCAGTGTCCCCCCGCGTTTCCACAGTCCCTCCGTGTCCCTCGGTGTCCCCTCACAGTCCCCGGTGTCCCCGCAGTATCTCCCAGCAGTATCTCCCCGGGTTTTCACGGGCCCCCTGTGTCCCTCGGTGTCCCCACGCAGTCCCCGGTGTCCCCTCAGTGTCCCCCCGCGTTTTCACACTCCCCCGGTGTCCCCCCGCTGTCCCCACTCCCGCCGAGGCCCCGCACGGTTCCCGGGCTCCGCCGCTCTCTCCCGGCCCGGGCCCGGTTCCTCCGGGGGTCCCTCGGCGGGGTCCCCGCCCGGGGCTGTCCCCGGCGCAGCCGTTCCTTGGCGGAGCCGAGCAGAAGGGTCCCCCCGGTGCCCTCCGAGCCCGGGACTCACCGGCAGCGGTAACGGGGGAAGCCCCGGCTCCGCTCCCGCACCCTCCCCGCAGCCAGGCCCGGGGCCGAGCCGAGCCCACCGAGCCCGGCCTTACCTCCACCTCCGGGGCACCGGGAGAACGGGGGGTGCGGATCCTGCTCTAAAATCGAGGAATTCTGTGGGGTTTTTTCGCCCCCGGAGCGGCGAGAAGCGGGGGATGCGGCGGGGCGGGCCCGGGGATGCTCCGGGAGAGCGCGGCCGCTCCCACCCCGGGCCGGGCTGGGCTGGGCTGGGTGTGCTCGGCACGGCGGCGGCAGCGAGGAGAAGCGGGAATATCGATAATAAAAACACCGATAAATGGAGCTGATGGTGCTAATAGCACTAATAACAGGAATAGGAACGGCACTAATAATAGCAAGGCTAATAGTGACGCTAATACCGCTAATATTAACGCTAATTAAAACAACAACAACAGCGCTAAACCCGACACGAAAACAACAACAAGCATACGATAAAAAATGTGTCCCCTCAGTGTCCCCCCGCGTTTCCACAGTCCCTCCGTGTCCCTCGGTGTCCCCTCACAGTCCCCGGTGTCCCCGCAGTATCTCCCAGCAGTATCTCCCCGCGTTTTCACGGTCCCCCTGTGTCCCTCGGTGTCCCCACGCAGTCCCCGGTGTCCCCTCAGTGTCCCCCCGCGTTTTCACACTCCCCCGGTGTCCCCCCGCTGTCCCCACTCCCGCCGAGGCCCCGCACGGTTCCCGGGCTCCGCCGCTCTCTCCCGGCCCGGGCCCGGTTCCTCCGGGGGTCCCTCGGCGGGGTTCCCGCCCGGGGCTGTCCCCGGGGCAGCCGTTCCTTGGCGGGGCCGAGCAGAAGGGTCCCCCCGGTGCCCTCCGAGCCCGGGACTCACCGGCAGCGGTAACGGGGGAAGCCCCGGCTCCGCTCCCGCACCCTCCCCGCAGCCAGGCCCGGGGCCGAGCCGAGCCCACCGAGCCCGGCCTTACCTCCACCTCCGGGGCACCGGGAGAACGGGGGGTGCGGATCCTGCTCTAAAATCGAGGAATTCTGTGGGGTTTTTTCGCCCCCGGAGCGGCGAGAAGCGGGGGATGCGGCGGGGCGGGCCCGGGGATGCTCCGGGAGAGCGCGGCCGCTCCCACCCCGGGCCGGGCTGGGCTGGGCTGGGTGTGCTCGGCACGGCGGCGGCAGCGAGGAGAAGCGGGAATATCGATAATAAAAACACCGATAAATGGAGCTGATGGTGCTAATAGCACTAATAACAGGAATAGGAACGGCACTAATAATAGCAAGGCTAATAGTGACGCTAATACCGCTAATATTAACGCTAATTAAAACAACAACAACAGCGCTAAACCCGACACGAAAACAACAAGCATACGATAAAAAATGGGGATTTTTTTATTAGGGTTATTTTTATAATATTGTTGTTTTTGAGGAGCGGGGAGCCCGCGGATCTCGCCGCTTCCCCTTCCCGGCAGCTCGCTCCCGGTATTTCCCCCTTTTCCCCGCTTCCTCTTCTCCCGGAGCAAATCCCTTCCCGTTATTGTTCACGTTAATCGTGGGAGTAACGGGAAAAAAAAAAAAAAAAAAAAAAAAAAAAAAAAACAAACCAAAACAAACCAAACAAACTAAAAATAAACAACAGCAGGGAAGGAGCGGGAGCCGTGAGGAGGCGGCGGGGGCTGAGCGGGCACCGGCGGCTTAGCGGGCACCGGGGCGGCTTCTCCGCCGCTCGTTCCGCGGCCTCAGCCGCCGCTCGGGGCCGGGGCTCGGCGAAAGGAGGAATTTTCGTTCCAGCAGCTCCCGGGCGATCGCCGCCCTCCGTCTTCCCGGTGGGACCGGCCCGCAGCCTTTCCCCGCAGCCCCGGGGGCTGAGGCCGCAGGGCGGGCTGGGTTTGGGGTAATTTTCCTGGTTTTCGTTAAAAATCGTTGGTTGGTGGCGCATCCACCAGCGGGCCCGGTGGCGGGGCAGGGCGGAGGCCGGCTGTCCGGCTGTCCGGCTGTCCGGCTGTCCGGCTGTCCGGCTGTCCGACTGTCCGGTTGTTCGGCCCTGCCGCAGCCCCGCGAGTGGAGAACCGGGAACGGGGAGCGGGGAGCCGGGAACCGTTTCCGACCGCCAGCACCGTCCCCGGAGCGGCGGCTCCGTCCCCGCTCGCCCCTCCGGGCCCCGCAGAACCGGGAGTGCGGCCCGGGACCACCGGCCTGGAGCAGGGCCCGTCCCCTGCGCTCTCCGCGCTCGGCCCCTTTCGTTCGCTTTATTTCCTTCCCCTTTTCGCCCTTTTGATTTCTTCCCTTTTACTTTCCTTATCCCTGCAGGTTTAGTTCGCCTTTTAATTCTATTTTTTTTTTCCTTTTGAATTTTATTTTTTTCCTGCTGTTTTCCCCGCGCTGTTCCGGTTATTTCAGGGACGGGCCCAGGCCGCGGCAGGCTCGGACATCCAGCGGCCACTCCAGCCCAAGGCCTTGAACTCCCGGTGCCCGCCAGAGCCCGAACCGGGCACCTCCAGCCTCTACCGAGCTCTACCCGGTGCCCGGGCCGTACCCAGACCCCTGCGGGCCCCCAGCCCGGGCCGGTGCCCGGTACCGGGCCGTGGGTGCGGCGGAGCGCAGGGGCTGTGAAATCTAGGGGTTGCTTTTGCTTAAAACTTAATTTATTTATTTTTAATCCGCCGCCGTTGGAACCGTTCCCATTCCAGGCAGCACCGGGGAGGGGGGCGGCCGCCCCCGGCGAAGCACCGCGGCCGCCGCCGTCGCTTTTTCCGCCCGGTTTTGCCCCGTTGTGGCGACAGCGGTGGAAAGGAGCCCCCCGAGGCTGGGGAGACCCCCGGGACACCCCCGCACGCACCGGGCCCGGCACTCCCAGCTGGAAACCGGGAGCCACCCCTCTCGGTGCCGGTGCCGGTGCCCGGGGGTGGCTGTGCCGGATCAGGGAATTTCGGGGCTCCCCCCTGCCCCATCCGGGACTGCAGTGGGGTAACCCCGGTAGCAGCGGGGACTCTCCCGGTAGCCGCGGGGCAGCGCGGGGAAGCGAGACCGGAGCCCCCCGACCCCCGCCCGGCTCGGGAAGGAGCAGCGCCCGCGGGGACCGGGGGATTTCTTTATTCGTTGCCACCCCTGCCCGGGCTGGGCGGGGGTCCCCAGGGTGAGCCCCCTGAGAAGGAACCGGGAAGCGGAGCCGCCGCCGCTGTCGGAGCCGGGCAGCGGCCGCCGAGGGGCTCTTTGTTTACCAATCGGTGTCACAGAACGGGAGGGCAGGAAATTGCGTCTGTACCGGGCCGTTAATTTAAAACCGGCTCTTTCCTCGCCCCCCGCTCGCCCCCAGCCGCTCCCCGGGCGCGGCGGGGGCTCGGCCGCCCGCTCCCCGCGGCCGCCGGGGGATGCGCAGCGGAGCGCGGCGGCGGGGGAGGGCCGGGCCGGAGGAATAAGGACCCGGCTCTCCCTCCCATCCCCCCCGCCCAGCCTTGCCTCCTCTCTCCCTCTCCCCGTGTCTCTCTCTGCCTCCCGATGTTTGATCCCGCCGCGGCGCCCGCAGGGATGAGCGATGGAGGGGCCGAGCCCGGCGGGAGCCCCGTGCTGCTGGCCGAGCCCGCGGCCACCGGGCGGGCCCGGGAGAAGCTGCCGACCCGGGCGGAGCTGGAGAGCGCCCTGCGCGCCGGCGGCGGCGGCGGCGGAGCCGGCGGCGGCTTCAAGGACATCCCGGGAACGTCGGCGGTCAGCCCCGGCTCCTCCAAGCAGTGCGCCCCGGACACCGAGAGCCCGTCGGGGACCGGCGAGGCGGATTACTGCCGCCGCATCCTGGTGCGAGGTACGGGCACGCTCCCCGCTCCCGCTTCCCCCGCCGGGGCTTCCCGCTCCGGGCACGGGGCATCCCCGGCACCGCTCCCAGCGCATCTCGGGCGCTTCCCGGCCGCGACCTCCGGCCTCCCGGCCCCTCCGCTCCTGCCCCGGCTCCGCTGCGCGCGGCACGGAGCGGGCCCGCTGCCCCAGCCCGGCTCCGCCGGCGGCGGGCTCGGAGCGGGGCCGTGCCCAGCGGGCGGCCGGGAGGGCTCCGGGGGAACGGCGCCGGGGTCACGGAGCCGGCGGAGCCCCGCGGGGGACGCGCGGGCGGCGGCAGAGGGGGGACAGCATCAGCTCGGCGTTGGGAGCGATGTCGCAGGAGAAAAGCGTCACGGAGCGGCGGCGGGCGAGGGGGGGTTTATTTATTTTTTTTTCTTTCCCCTTTATAATATCACCGGCTCGGTCCCGACCGGGGCTCGGCGCTCCCCGGAGCCGCCGCGTCCCGCATCCTTCATCCCGCACCTCGCCCCGCCGCCCGCGCTCAGTCCCCGCCGGCCCGGGACTCGCCGGGACCACTTCTGGCTTGTGGCGAACCCCGAGAAGTTTGGGGCGCCCTGGCGCGGCTGTCGCAGGCGGGCGGGACCCGAGCGCTCCTCGGCTCCGGGATCCCGGGGATGCTCCGCGTCCCCGCCGCTCCTCCCGGAGCCCGGAGCGGCTCGGCGGCCGCTCGGCGATCAGGGCCGAGGCCTCCCGGTGCCCAGCGCAGCGCTCGGGCAGCGCGGCAGGCAGCGGAGCGGCGGCCGTGACCTCCGTCCTCTTTGCCGCGGTGGCGGCGGGGACCGGAGCCGAGTCCGTGTCCCTGTCCCGTCGTTATCCCGGGCTCGGGCATCCCGCAAAAGCGCCCCGCCGCTCACCCGAGCCTCTCTCCCGGTTGTCGCGATAGGCGCCCTTCGCCGACAGCTCGGTTGTCCCAGTCCGAAGCGGGGACAGCGGCCGAGCAGCGGGCAGCGCTCGGCGAGAGCCCCGGGGTCCCGCCCGTGTTGTCCCCGCGTCCCCGGGGGTCGCCGAGCGGGGCTGCCGCCGGTCCCGCCGGGGTCAGGCTGGGGTCAGGCCTCTCCTCGGCCGGTTCCAGCCCCACCGAGACCGCCCCGACCGTGCCGGCACCGGGAGAGGGGCGGGGGTCGGTGCCCAAGGCCGGGGCAGGGTCTGCGCTCCCGCCGACCCCGGGGACCCTCACCGGGAGCGCCCGGTTTCACCATCTTGCCGCAGCCGCCACGGTGCGGACAAAATGGTGGCGGGGAGAAAACACCGCAAATCACCGGGCTTGAGCCGAAATGCAGCGGGGGGAAGGTGGCGGGACCACCGGGGCTGCGGGGACACGGAGCCGCCGGTCCCCACCCGCCCCGGGCGCGGTGCCGCAGCCGGGCAGGGCCGGGGCCGAGCAGCGGCTGGGCCCGAAGCCTCCCGGTGGGTTTTGTGAGAAGCGGGAGGTTAAAATCTTCATTTTTATGTTTTACAATATATTCTTTTAATATTTTGAGTTTCGCCCTCGCTGCTTGCCCCGGGAAAGGGGCCCCGCCAGCCCCGGCCTCGGTGAGGAGCGGCGGCCTCGGAGCTGCCGCCAGCCCCGGTGCAGCCCCGGTGCTCGCCCGCGGTGCTTTCGGTGAAGTCAGAGGGTCCTGATGACCCCCTCACACCGACAGGGTCCTCTCGGGGTCTCGGTCCGCTCGGTGATCCCGCGGTACCGGGGATGGTCCGTGCGGGACGGAGCCTCCCGGTCACGTCCCGGCCGTCCCCGTCTCGTCGGTGGTGACTCTCGGGGATGAACGGGACAAGGAGGAACCTGGGCAGCGCCAGGGCCGGTCCCGCTGTCACCGCGGCCACTGCAGCCGCACGGGGCTGGGGACACATCCCGGGATGCTCTCCCGGGTCACCTCCCGGGGCTGGCCCGGTGCTGGGCCTGGTGGCCACAGAGCCCGTGGAGGGACCCTGGTGGCGTTTGGTGCCACCATGGCCACCCCATGGCACTGGGGGGACATCCTGGGGGCTGGCAGGGGGGGTGTGCACCCCAAAAGGTCCTGGCAGCTATGTTGGTGTGGGGACACAGGTGGGCACGAGGTGTCCTTGTGCCAGTGTGGGGTGTCCCTGTGCCACTGTGGGGTGTCCCTGTGCCACTGTGGGGTGTCCCTGTGCCACTGTGGTGTGTCCCTGTGCCAGGGTGAGGTTTCCCCATGGATTTGGGTGCCCTCTGCTCTTTCAGGGGTTTTCAACCCCAGCCCTGTGCTGGCTCCAGAGCCACCAGGTGTACCCCAGTCCCCAAGAGCAGGACGTGTCACCAGTGAGGCCCAAGGCTCCGGAACCCCCCTGGGCAGGATCTGGGAATTTTTGAGGCCCCAGAAAGGGAAAAGGCTCTCAGGAGGGCATTCCAAAGGCTGGAATGGGGGGATGGCCTGAGCACCCCAAAACCTACACTGGGGAAGGTCAGTAGGGTGGGACAAGGGGTTTGGTGTCCTGTCCCTGTGCCAGGGTGAGGTGTCCCCATGGATTTGGGTGCCCTCTGCTCTTTTAGGGGATTTCAACCCCAGCCCTGTGCTGGCTCCAGAGCCACCAGGTGTACCCCAGTCCCCAAGAGCAGGACGTGTCACCAGTGAGGCCCAAGGCTCCGGAACCCCCCTGGGCAGGATCTGGGAATTTTTGGGGCCCCAGAAAGGGAAAAGGCTCTCAGGAGGGCATTCCAAAGGCTGGAATGGGGGGATGGCCTGAGCACCCCAAAACCTACACTGGGGAAGGTCAGTAGGGTGGGACAAGGGGTTTGGTGTCCCCTGTGCCGAGCTGGCACCGTGGCCGTGCCCTTTTCCCCGCCGTCCCTCCGGAGCTGCTCCAGCTGCCGGGGGAACAACAATAAATAACGCCCGAGCTGGAGCCGAGGCCGCAGCTGCAGCCTCGGATCCGGCGTCCGCAGCATTCCCGGCTGTTGTTGTGCCGTGGCCGTGGCGTGGGCACGGACGTGGGCATGGATGTGGGCACAGGAGCGCGGATGTGGCCTGGGCATCGTCGCCGCCACGGCGCTTCCCACACAAAATGGTTCCTGGCACTGATCCTGCCGGAAAAGCCGCTGATCCGCCTACAGCCCCTTTCCTTCCCGGCAGCTCCGCGCCAGCCCGTGGGGTTTGGGGTGTGGGTCAGGTGCCACCACCCCCTGTGCCACCCTGGGTGTCCCCAAGCCCTCAGGACTCCTTCGGTGCCGCGTTCTGGGATGGCGCCTCGGCCGTGTCCCGCGGCTCCATGGTGGGAATGCGGCTCCAGGATTGGGGTCCCTTTCCCAAATCGGTGTTTGGTCCCCATTCCCATTATCCCAGTGCCGGATCCACCACCCTCATCCCAGCTCCTCTGTCCTCATCCCGGCTCTGCCGATCCTATGGCAGCGCCAGCATTCCAATCCCGATGCCACCATTGCCATCCCACTGCCACCGTTCTGATCCCAGTGCCACCATTCCAATCCCAGTGCCACCATTCCCATCCCAGTGCCACCATTCCCGTCCCAGTACCACCATTCCAATCCCAGTACCACCATTCCAATCCTGGTGCTGCAGTTACCATCTCAGCACCACCATTCCCATCCCAGTGCCACCATTCCCATCCCAGCGCCACCATTCCCATCCCAGCGCCACCATTCCCATCCCAGTGCCACCATTCCAATCCCAGTGCCCCTGTTCTGATCCCAGTGCCACCATTCCCATCCCAGTGCCACCATTCCCATCCCAGTGCCACCATTCCAATCCCAGTGCCCCTGTTCTGATCCCAGTGCCACCATTCCCATCCCAGTGCCACCATTCCAATCCCAGTGCCCCTGTTCTGATCCCAGTGCCACCATTCCCATCCCAGTGCCACCATTCCAATCCCAGTGCCGCCATTCCCATCTCCGCCGTCCCCACCCCATCTCCATCACCCCATTCCCAGCCTTTCCTTGCTGTTTTCCTCCTTCCTACCACAGGAATTTTATAATCCCTTCGTGCCCAACTCGGCCAGAGGGAGGGAGATCCATTGACTTTCAACTAGGATCCCTCCGGAATTGAGATCCCAAAGAATCCCAAAATCAGGGCTTGGAGCGACTTCCTGGCTGGATTTTAACCCTCTGGAAAAGCCCCTGGGAGCTCTGCAGGGAGGACTCACCCAAACCCAGTCGGGATTTAGGATCTGGGAAGATCCCAGCGGGCGATTCCCAAGGCTCATTTTAAATCCTGGGAACTGGGACAGAATTCCTGTCAATTTTTTTGGTGGAGTTTGTCCTTTCCCAGTGGGAAGCCACGGAGGCTCCTCTGGAATGGCCACGAGCCACTTCCCACGGCCAAACCCTCAAACTTTTCTTTCCCTGGATATTCCCAACCTGAAAAAATCCACAGCTGGGAGCAGCTCGGTGCCCACGGCGCTTCCCAAACTTGTCCTTTAATAGGAAACCGCCCCAAAACGGGAGCTGAGCTTTCCAAGGAAATATTCCTCTGGTGAGGATAATTCTGGGGAGATGGGAATTGTAATAGAGGTGAATTTTTCCCAGTATTCCCAAGGAAGGACAGAAACCAAAAATTATATAAAAATTACATTAAAAAAATCTTTAATTCAAATTCTTCTTTGGTATAAATCTGCTGTTTGCTCCTGGCTTTCCAAACTATTATTCCCAGGATTAAACGCTCCATTTTCCCCCAAAAATTTACGGCTTCTATTTATGTCTTTAAAAAAACCCTAATTCATGGAAATTTTTTGCCTTTCCCTGGATATTTATAAATTCCCTTCATATGGGGCCAGAGGGAAGAACCAAGCCATAATTTAGCTCCAGATTGTGGGAATTGCATGGATAATCCACGTCCAGACACTCTTTAATTTAATTTAATTCCGTTTTCCCCCCAATTTTTGGATTTTTTAAACCAATTGCTTCAGTTTTGTTTATTTCCCTGACAGTTCTCCCCATCAAAAATTATGTAAAATTTGCATTTAAAACATCTTTAATTTGAATTCTTCCTTGGCATAAATCTCCTGTTTGCTACTTGGCTTTCCAAATTATTATTCCCAGGATGAAACGCTCTGTTTTCCCAACCCTTAGTAACTGCTATTTTGGATTTTTGGACTGATTCCTTCACTTTTTTTTTTTTTCTAATTAATGGAAATTTTTTGCCTTTCCCTGGCTATTTATACATTCCCTTCATATGGGGCCAGAGGGAAGAACCAAGCCATAATTTAGCTCCAGATTGTGGGAATTGCATGGATAATCCACGTCCAGACAGTCTTTAATTTCATTTATTTTCCATTTCCCCCCCCCCGATTTTTGGACCGATTCCTTCAGTTTTGTTTATTTCCCTGACAGTTCTCCCCATCAAAAATTATGTAAAATTTGCATTTAAAACATCTTTAATTTGAATTCTTCCTTGGCATAAATCTCCTGTTTGCTACTTGGCTTTCCAAATTATTATTCCCAGGATGAAACGCTCTGTTTTCCCAACCCTTAGTAACTGCTATTTTGGATTTTTGGACTGATTCCTTCACTTTTTTTTTTTTTTCTCTGACTGCTCTCCCCATTAAAAATTATATAAAAATTACAGAAAAAATAATCTTTATTTCAAATTCTTCCTTGGCATAAATCTTCTGTTTGCTCCACACGTTCCAAACTATTATTCCCAGGATGTAACGTTCCTTTTTCTCAATGCTTATTAATGGCATTTTTGGATTTTTGATCCAATTTCTTCAGTTTTGTTTTTGTCCCTGATGGCTCTCCCCATCAAAAATTATATAAAAAAATTACAGAAAAAAAATTAATTCAAATTCTTCCTTGACATAAATCTCCTATTTGCTCCATACTTTCCAAAATATTATTCCCAGGATGAAACGCTCCATTTTCCCAACGCTCGCTAACCGCATTTTCGGATTTTTGGACCAATACCTTCAGTTTTGTTTTTGTCCCTGGTGGCTCTCCCCATCAAAAATTATATTAAAAATTACAGAAAAATAAATCTTTCAATCGAATTCTTCCTTGACATAAATCTCCTGTTTGCCCCACGCTTTCCAAAATATTATTCCCAGGATGAAACGCTCCATTTTCCCAACGCTCGCTAACCGCATTTTTTAATTTTTGGACCGATTCCTTCACTTTTTTGGGGTTTTTTCCTGACGGTTTTCCCTGTTTTCTGCACAGATGCCAAAGGGACGATCCGTGAGATCGTGCTGCCCAAGGGGCTGGACCTGGACCGGCCCAAGCGGACGCGGACGTCCTTCACGGCGGAGCAGCTCTACCGCCTGGAGCTGGAATTCCAGCGCTGCCAGTACGTGGTGGGCCGGGAAAGGACGGAGTTAGCGCGGCAGCTCAACCTCTCCGAGACGCAGGTGAGACCCGCGGGGGCTCCTCGGGGTCGGGGACATCGCGGTGGCCGTGTCCCCGAGCCGTCGGATGCGCGGAGTGAGGCGGCGACGGGACGCACGCGGCGTTCCCGGCGATGGTTTTTCGTCATCACGTCCTTGGAATGGTTGGGATACGGTTGGGGACAGCCCTGAGGGGTCTGTGGGGACACCCCCAGCCTGTGGTGTCCACTCCAATGTCCGGCGAAGGGTCAAGGAGAGGTGGGACAGGGATTGGAGCAGCCTGGGATCGGGGAAGGTGGCCCTGGATGAGCTTTGAGGTTGTTTCCAACCCAACCCGTTCCATGATCCTGGGAAAAGCGGGAGGAGAATGGAGCAGGGGGTGACAGTGGTGACCCGAGGTGGGACATGGTGGGGATTGGCGTGGGTGGGGGCTGCTCCCGCTTTTCCTGCATCCCGATCACAGCAATCCAGGAATCAGCCCTGGATCTCTTCTCCATCACCTTCCTTGGATGATGGGAAGGGATTTTCCTGGTTTTCCTGTGCTGGGGAGAGCCGGGAGAATGGATGGGGTGAGCTCTGAGGTTTGTGCTTCTGATGGGGTCGTGATGGTTTTGGCTTAGAAATTTATTATTAAATAGCAATAATAATTAATTAAATAACATTAATAATTGTATTTATGTAATAATAATAATAATATTTGAATAATTATAAATATTCTGCCTCGTCCACCCCGTTCCTGCTGGGTCTGACAATGGTGTAGTTTACTTTGATTTGTACAGGAAATAATTCCAATTTTTCCAACCTTTTTTATGGAACAAACCCACCCCACCCGTGGGCAGCCAGGCCCTGGCTCTGAGGGGTGCCAGGGGATCCCACTGGGATTTTTTGGGAGATCCTACTGCTGGGTGAGGCGAAATCGGCATTCTGGGATTGTTTTGGTGGTGGAATAGGGGGATTTCGGTGAGGAGGAGGATTTGGGGTGGGATTTGGTCGGGAGAAAAGCGGCCTTGTGTTCCCTGTTCCCGAGGTCCCAGTGTCACCTCCATGGAGCCAGGAGGGTCACAGTGGCCTTGACTTTGTCACTCTGTGTGAACGGCTTTGTCCCTCTGGTGAGGGGTCCCTTTTCCCAGTGTCCTTCTTCCCGGTGTCCCTCTTCCTGGAATCCCTCTTCTTGGGGTCCCTCTTCCCGGGATTTCTCTTGCCGAGGTCCCAGTGTCACCTCCATGGAGCCAGGAGGGTCACGGACGGGCTTGGCTGTGTCACACTGCGGGAAAAGCTTTGTCCCCCTGGTGAGGGGTCCCTTTTCCCAGTGTCCTTCTTCCCGGTGTCCCTCTTCTCGGGAACCCTCTTCCTGAGGCTCCTTTTCCTAGGAATTCTCTTCCCGTGGTCCCAGTGTCACCTGCACAGAGCTGGGAGTGACATGGGTAGGCTTGGCTGTGTCACAGCTCTGTCCCCCTGGTAAGGGGTTCCCTTTTCCTGGGATCCCTCTTCCTGGGGTTCCTCTTCCCGGGAATTCTCTTTCCAAGGTCCCAGTGTCACCTCCACGGAGGAGCCAGGAGGGTCACAGGTGGCCTTGGCCGTGTCACTCTGTGGGAACAGTTCTGTCCCCAACACAGGCAGCCGCTGATGGGTCCCTCTTCTTGGGGTCAGTCCCTTTTCCTGGAATCCCTCTTCCCAGGATTCATCTTCCCGGGATTTCTCTTCCTGAGTGTCACCACCGTGGAGCTGGCACTGTCACAGGTGGCCTTGGCCGTGTCACACTGCAGGGACAGCTTTGTCCCCTGGCAGGGTCCCTTCCTCAAGGTCCCTCTTGCCACTGTCCCCGTGTCCCCTCCACGGGGGAGATCCAGGGGAACTGTGCAAAGCGGGAGCAGAAGATTCCAGGGAGCTGGAACTGCACAGCAATTCCCTTTTCCCAGGATTCCTCTTCCTGGGGTCCCGGTGTCACCTCCACAGAGCTGGGAGTGACAGGTGACAAGGGACAAGCTATGTGTCCCCAGCATGGGATCCCTCTTCCCAAATCCCCCTTCCAAAATTCCTCTTCCCAAATCCCAAATCTCCCTTCCCAAATCCCACTTCCCAAATCCCCCTTCCCAGGATCCTTCTTTCCAAATTCCCTGTCCCAAATCCCTTTTCCCAGGATCCCTCTTCCCACATACCTCCTCCCAAATCTCCCTTCCTAAATCCCTCTTCACAAATTTCCCTTTCCCAAATCCCCCTTCCCAAATCCCCCTTCCCAATCCCCCTTTCCAAATCCCCCTTCCCAAATCCCCTTTCCCAAATTCCCCTTCCCAAATTCCCTTTCCCACATCCCCCTTCCCAAATCCCCCTTCCCAAATCCCTCTTCCCAAATTCCCTTTCCCAAATGGCTCTCTCCCTGGTCTCGGCAGTGCCACCCACGGCCAGCGTTTGTCCCCTGGGCACGGAGGATGTTCCCAGCAGGGTGCCAGGGCTGGGAGGTCACAGCCTTTCCTTAGGGATGAAATTCCCATCTTTTCTCTGGAGCCTGGCTGCTGCCTCCGTCCCTGGGTGAGAAAATTCCCACCCTGTGGGCCGGGCGCTGTCGCTTCTCCTCCGCTCTCCCCCTTCCCGCACCCTTTTCCTCCTTCATCCCTGTCTCCTTAAATTCCTTTCCCTGCTTTTCACACCATTTTTCCTTCCCTGCAGCCAATTCCCAGTTTCCAGAACCTTCCTGGCTCCCCGATTTTTCCAAGCCACCCAGAATTCCCCAATTCCTCCTCTTCCTCTCTCCGGCGATGTGTGAGTCTTCTCACACTCAGGTGTCCCCCTTTTCCTCATTCCTGGTTTTTCACGGCCAGGATGTTTTCCTCATGAATTCCAAGAGCTTTAAACCGAGTTTTCCACGCCCCCTTTGGATCTGGAAGGTGCTGATCCCACCTGGATGTGGCCTGGAGAGGGAAAAGTCACTGCCAGCCCCTCCTGTCCCCACCCGGCTCCTCCAAACCGAGATAAATCCGACTTTTGCATCCATCCCAGGATTTTGGCTGCTTCTGGTGATTCATTCCCAGAGCAGCTCCCAGAATTTAGGGAATTTTGGTGATGAATCCCAATCAACAGCATCTCCTGGCTCTTTTTTTTTTTTGGGGGGACTGGGGACAGATCCTTTCCAGCCCCTCCCTGGGCTGGATTTTAATTCCAAGACAAATTCTTGGAATTAAATCTTTAATTCCGAGGAAGCTGCTCCTGACTTTTCCCTGTGGATGTGATGGGAACCCTGAAGGCCACCAGGGCTGGGATTTTTTTTTTTGTGTCTGTGGATGTTTGGGAAGGAAGGGGGAAGGATGATTCATCCCGGCGAGGAGGGAATGTGACGAGATGGGAAGAGACACGGTGCGATCGCAGCTGGAATGCCGCAGCATTCCGGGAGCGGGGCTGGGATCTTGCAGAAATCCTGCTGGAAATAGGGGAAAAAAGGGGGATTTAGGGTCTGGTTTTACTTTCCTGGCAGCTGTTTGGGAGAGTTGGAGGCAGGATGGGTTGGGGAGAGTGGGATTTGGGATTTTTTGGCTCAGAGTCGTGCTCCAGGAGTGGGGGATTGGGCTGGGAGAGAGGGAATTACTGGGAGGAGAGGAGGGATCAGGCAGGGAGAGAGGAATCACCCCAAAAACCCTGGGATCACCCTGGGAATCAGCCAGGAGTGAGGGTGGGATCATCCAGGGAGAGCAGGGATCACCCTGGAGAAAGGGGAATTTCCTGGAAGTGAGGGTGGGATCATCCAGAGAGAGCTGGGATTGCTCAGGGGAGAGGGAAAATCACTCAGGGAAGAGGGGGATCACCCAGGAGTGAGGATGGGATCACCCAGAAATTATGGGAATCACCCAGAAGTGAGGGTGGGATCACCCAAAAATGATGGGAATCACCCAGAAGTGAGGATGGGATCATCCAAGGAAAGCAGGGATCACTCAGGGGAGATGGGAATCACCCAGGAGTAAGGATGGACTCACCCAGAAATTATGGGAATCACCCAGAAGTGAGGGTGGGATCAACGTGAAAGGCTGGGAGGGTGGGCAGGGGCTGGGCTGGAATCCCCAGAAATGGTGGGATCATGCAGAAATTATGGGAATCACCTGGAAGTGAGGGTGGGATCACCAAGAAATGATGAGAATTGCACAGAAATTATGGGAATCACCCAGGAATGAGGATGGGATGACCCAGAAAAGATGGGAATCACCTGGAAGTGAGAGTGGGATTATCCAAGGAAAGCAGGGATCACCCAGGGAAGATGGGAATCATCCAAGGGAGAGGAAGGATCAGCCAGGGAAGAGGGGATCACCCAGAAATAATGGGAATCACCCAGGAGTGAGGATGGAAACACCCAGAAATTATGGGATCACCCCGAAATTATGGGAATCACCTGGATGTGAGGGTGGGATCACCCAGGAGAGTGGGAGGGAATTTCGGAGCCAAAGTTCCTTCCACCCATCCAGGGAATTCCTCTTCCCTCCCGGGATCCACGTCCCCGCTCCGCCTCCCAGTGCTTTACCTAATTAATCCATGGATATTATTAATGTTCAATGAGTTTAATTAATCTGGGGAATGTTTCCATTGGGGAATATTTCCATGGAGATGCCGAGGTGAGCTCTGAGGTCTTTGGGATGAGCTGGAAAGTGGTGGGAACATCCCAAACCCATCCCAAATCCCAACAGCAGCTCATATCCATGGATCCAGCTTTTTTCCGGGAAAACCCCCTGGAATCCCGAAGGGAAAAGTGCCCCTTCCCAGTATCATTATGGGATGGAAAATCCCAGGTGGAGGAGGCAGAAGGGTGACAGCAGAGGGGGTGGAATTCCCATAAATCCGTCGGGGGATGGGATGGGATGGGATGGGATGGGATGGGATGGGATGGGATGGGATGGATGAAGGGATTTGCTCTCAGGGTCTGGAGTTCAATGCCAGGCTCAGGTTCAAGTGATCCCGGTGTTTTCCAGCCCTTCTTAAGGCCAGGACAGGGAGGTGACACTCGGGATGAAGGGCAGTCCCAAATTGTGCCAGGGAAGGTTTAG